GCGTTTAAAAGATCTGCATCGGGGCACCTGAGTGGCTCAGTCAGTTAAGTGTCTGACTTCGGCTCAGGTCATGATCTTGCAGTCTGTGAGTTTAAGCCCCGTGTCAGGCTCTGTGCTGACAGCTCGGAGCCTGGAGCCTGCTTTGGATTCTGTGTGTGTCTCTCTCTGGCTGCTGCTCCCCCACTCATGCTCTGCCTCTTTCTGTCTCAAAAATGAATAAATGTTTTTAAAAATTTTTTTAAAAAAATAAACAAATAAAAGATCTGCATCATCACCCCCCAGCTGGGTACCTTTGGGCAAGTGCCCTGACCTCAACCTCTCAGCTCCTCATCTGTAAAATGGGCACACTCCCCACTTGCTGGGGAATTCTGAGAACTCAAAGTTGTTTACCAAAGTGTTCACCCTGGTGTCTGGTGTACAGGTGCCCTCACCACGTGCCCAGGCCATCGCTGTGGCTGCCGTCACCGTGACCCCATAGGAGAGGGTGTGTTGCTCTGAGAGGCATCCAAGGGTGTCAGAAGTGAGATCTCCTCTGTGGCAAGAAAGCTGTTGCAGGGCCTGGAGCCCGGCCCGGTGGGGTAGTCTGCTGCCCCACCCCCTTCCAGCAGAGGTGCCAGTCGCTGGCAGGATGTCATAGAGAATGGCGTCCAGTCTGCGCTGGCTAGAGTCTGGGCTTGGGCAGGGCAGGATCCCCCCAGCTCTGAAGGGGGTGCCATCAGAGCAAAATAGGGTTTGTTTCTTGTGTTTCTCTGAGCCACTTGCCCAGATTTGAGAAGACAAGCTCAGGTTTTCCTGTGAATCAGTTTGAACTGTCTTTTGTGGGGCTCAGAGACCGGCCCGCCCTAGGGCAGCACGCTGAGGGTGAAGCCAGCCTCAGTGCAGCGGGCTGACTGCCCCTGGCTGGGACATGGGGCACCCCACAAAGGACAGTGAGCCGCTGGGGAGGGGGCCCAGATTGGATCCGGTAGTTTGTATGTCATGGCATTTAGACAAGTACAGAAGACGACTGAGCACGTGCTTGTGGCCCACGGAGAACTGGCACTCGCTCACCTTGTGTCGTGCGTTCTCAAGTTTTTAATTTTTTTTTAATTTTATTTATTTACTTTTGCCCAGTGTAGGGCTTGAACTCGTGACTCTGAGCTGAGATCAAGAGTCGGAGGCTTAACTGACTGAGCCACCCAGGCACCCCTGTTTTTTTTTCAGTTTTACTTATTTGTTAAATCATCTCTCATCCAGCATGGGGGTCGAACTCACAACCCCAAAACCAATCGTGTGCTCTTTCGACTGAGCCAGGCAGGTGCCCCACAGGCCTTGTTTTAGAGAAACCACACCCTGCCAATGACATCCCGGCCCCAAGTCCACCTTCCCACCGTGTTTCTGTCCCTTCCCCAGTGGCAGCCGCCCCTCGGAATTCAGCTCTGGATCTGTCTCACCTCCCCCGTTGTAGGTGTTGGGGGGCTGGGGGCTCGTGTACAGAGATGGCATCACAAATCCGCCCGTCACACCATGTGTATTGTATTAACACTTCTCCAGAAGACTGCTTCGCATCTGATGCTGTCAGGCACAGAGACTCATGCCTGTTTGTTCATGGCCCTGATGCCTGGGCCTGCGGCCCGGCATCCCAGCTGTCCCCCACTCTCTCAGCTCTGCCTGCGGTGGCCTCCATTCAGCATGCCCAGCACCCCTGTGTGCACCCGGCTCCCGGGAGCCCCCGTCTCTCAGCCTGAGCACCTCTGCCTGCTTCACTCGCACCTGGTCCAGGTGGCTCTGGGCTCCTGGCCTGCCCCGGGCTTGTCGGCAGCCCTGTGCTGTGGCCCTGGCGTCTCCATGTTGAAGTGAGTGGCCTTGGGAAGACAGCCCTCAGCCCCTTGCCCGCACTCCCACGGCGGGGGGCTTACTCAGGCCTTCCGTTCTACCAGCGCTGTCTCTCTGTGTGTTAGGTGTGGTGGGGGCTGCATCAGGAGGGAGGCCTCACGGTCACAAAGAGCGAACGTGTGGTACCATTTCGGGGGGTGCAGAGAGGAAGCCAGAGGAGTGTTGGATGGATGGGAGGACCTATCTGGGGAAGTGATATTTCAGCATCTCCGTTGCAAGCAGGAGCTGCTGATTGGAAGCATCAAGGGCAGGGGGGTCCCAGCAGTGGGACCTGCAGGTGCAGTGGCTTGTCGGGTGGGGGTAGGGGAGGTGCTCCGACAGAGGAGGCCACACACTGAGGGGGCCCAACATCCCCCTGGAAGGTTCGAAGGAGCGGAGTGACATGCCCAGAAGGGCCACCATGGGGATGGTCAGTAGAGTCTGTCGGGCTGGGCTGGCTCTGAGGGCGCGGGGGTGGTGTGTGCGCACAGGGGCAATGTGTGTGTGTGTGTGCACGCACACGTGGACAGCTCCCTAAAACACCCAGGAGGAGCCACCTGGCCAGGGCCTGGAGCCCTCACCTTCCCCAGGTGTCCCCAGCGCTGCCTGGCCTCACAGTGCAGAAGGAAGTGTGCATGAATGTTATGGAGCCCAGGAGACTAGGGTGGATTTTATCCGCCCGAATGCTGGGGACAGAACATTGTTGAGAACGTGGGTTTCATTCTGTGTGGCAAGGTTAAAAGCTTCTGCAGCAAAACCACATGACCTGAGGGGAGCCCCAGACAGGGACTTGCTGCTCCCTGAGGTTCCAAATGCTGTTCCGACAGCGGGAAGGCCCTTCCAGACCCTGGAGGCACTTCCAGCTCATCCTTCCGAATGCTGTGACTGCTGTGGGCTAAATGACAATGGAGTTGCAGCCTGCTGGAGCGTTAGAGAGGCCACGTCAGCCATACCTTCGTCTGGGCAGGTGGAGGTCGCAGGAGTCACGTCTGTGAGCTAATCCCCACTCGTCTCTGCGAATGCAGAAGACGTAACCGTGTAGCAAAAACGTGTGTGTGCGCCTGTTGTTTTGAGAGTCTCCGCTGGTCTGCTTGGAAAATTGGCTGCTGCTGCTTAGTCAAATAACGTGGGAAAAAGTTACTCAGACAGCTAGCGGTGCCGGCTTCGAACCCTGCCCTTGGAGCCCTGGTGATAGTGCGGATTCCCGAGTACTCCATGAGTCCCCGGGTCCCTGATTGCAGACCAAGAAGCCTAGGTGCAGACCACAGGGCTGTCCGGGGCCAGCGTTTGCTCATCATCCTCCCACACCCTGGTCTGCATTTTCTCCTGCTCCCTGAGCCCATGAAAGGTGGCCAGGAGGCCAGAAGGAGACTTGCTGGGGAGGGCACATGTGCTGCTTTTCTGGCCCAGCTCACTGTGCCCGAGGGCCCTGGGGACACAAGGCGAGCTCAGACATGCCGAACATCTCCTTGCCAACCCCACTTGCACCCGGGGGGACCCGGGCGCTGGCCCGCCCCACCACTTCCAGATGGAGCCCATAGAATGTATCTCCAGCTGCTGAGAGCCCCCTGTGTACCTGGGCTGTCCTCGGCCCCGGTCACCGTCTGCTAAGACGGGTGGACGTGCACAGGACATGGGAGGTGGGAAAGGAGGGGAGGGGTGTCCCAGCTCCTCTTCAAGGCTGAGCACCCACGACGGAGGGGCGCTTCCTCCAGCTCACGGGGCGTGTATCACTGGAGGGGCACTTCCTCCAGCACACGGGGGACGCGTCACACTTTGTCCCAGGAGCCTTTGGCTTCTTGCCTTGGGGAGGGCAGGCAGCCAGGAGGAGGCAGAACAGCTTCTCTGCTTTATGTATTGGCCTTTCTTGTAAGATCGCTTCTAATGCTTACTTATTACGATTTATGAACTTGTGTCCAGTGAATTAAATTTTTCTAAAGTAGATTGGTTTTGTTTTTTAAATGCCATGAGACTGAGATGGGGCCTCCCTGGGCAGTGTTAAGCAAGGGTGGGTGCACAGACTGAGCCACTGAATGGGCCCGGGAGGAAGTTGCCCCGTCCTGTGTCCCGGCTGTGAGGGGGGTAGGGTTGAGTGGGGGGAGGGGGGGCAGCACACCTGTCAGCACCCCAGGCCCAGGAGCCATTCACCTCCCAGGTCAGCCACTGCTGGAGCCCTCCGACTCATCTTTTCACAAATTGTGGTGAGAGATACATAACGTAAAATCCGCCGCTCTCACCATTTCTCAGTGTCAGGTTCAGGGGCGTCAAGTACACTTGCACTGCCATGCAGCCATCTCCAACAGCCAGCCGCAGCTCTGGCCCCCTTGAATGCCCCCCCACAGCCCACACTCCCCTTCCACTCTGTCTCCAGGGTAGCCTCCTCTCGCGCCCCCTTCTGTATCTGTCATTTCACAAGGCTGCCAGTCCAAGCGCGTGTGCCCCTTTAACATATGTGTTCCTGCATGCGTTCCTCCCCCCCCGCCCCGCCCCTCATCCCCGCTGCCCTCCTGTCCTGCCAGCCCTTCCTCAGCCCTCGCTGTCCCCTGCCTGGAGCACCGTCTACCTTCTTCCATGCGGAGCACTCATTGTCTGCACACTGCATTTCTCCAGGATATTCGTGTTGTTATGTGTCATACTTTACATGACACATTCCCCTCCACCCCTCCCCCTGCCTGCCCCGTTAACCTGGAAGGTGAGGGAGAGTGAGGACCGTGCACCCAAGTGTTTCCGCTGTGGCCTGTCACGTGTAAGGTTTATCTGGGCCTCTTCCCTGCTGAGCATGTGGCGGCCGGGGAGAACCTGCGTGTCCTCTCCCCCCGCCTCTGCTGACCCGAGGTGGCTCATGGAGGCTCCCAGAACTTGGTCGGTCCCGGTGTGGAGAGTCATTGCCAGGATGGCCCCTGCAGCCCTGGTCCCCTCCTCCCTTTGCATGCGTGGCTTAGCATCTCTGTGCTCTCCGGTTCCAGCACCTTCTATGTGCGCCGTCCGTACAGGGAGCTCTACTGATATGCTCAGCCCATGTTCGCGGTTGATTCATCTTTCGAGTGTCTTGCCTTCTGATGCGCCTCGAGCCGTTAAGGGATTGAACTGCAGCTCCGACGTGTGGAGATTTGCCACACTTACTCAAATTTCCTTTTTTCTCATCATAAGTTTGTCATTTTTTTATTATAACTCTGCGTAGCCTTCATCTTTTGTGGCTTTTAGAATGGCAGTTTCATCTTGTTCTCTGTCACCTATGAAGCAAGGGATATAAGACGTCTTTTTAACAAGATAACTAAAAGAAAGGGCAAAAATTTTCATGTCAGTAATTTTTTAAAGGAGCAGCTGATTGTCTGTGAGACTTCATCTGTCCAAAATGGTTTTTCTCCAGAGGATTCCAGACCGCTAATATGGTAATAAACAGAAAGCTAAAAATCTTTGATACTGAAGTTTATTTGGGAGTTTACTTTAGAAGCCTACATTCTGTAGTTCTTAAAAGGCAAACATTTTTAATGTCATTTCTTTTCTAAGGAGCCAGTTTTTAAGAGAAAGCCCCCCAAAAAGTGCCTTTTTAAGCTTTTATGTTCTATACTTCCTTTACTACTTCAGGCATTTTGGTATTAACTGTGCAGTCCGTGGTAATAGAAACTTTGGAAAACATGGAAACGTGGAAAGAAGAGAAGCCACGAGAAGCTGCTTTCCACAGAGACCCCACTGATGCCCTTTGTCCTTGCGTCTGCTTCCTTTTTAAAGACCTTAGCGGGAGCTTTGCTGAAACTGCAGATTTGCAATTTGATGACTGCTGGCAATTGAATCCCGGACCATAAGGAGCCTTTTTTATGTTAATATGTGTTTAGCCAAGGAGGTTAGGACCACTTTGCCCCTGCTAAGCTAGGAGTCCGCCTTGGGCCTCTTTGCCTGCCTGAGGCTTGAGGAGGGGTGAGGGGAGGTAGGGCGGCCAGGCTGGCCGGAGGCCCATCATCGGGCGGCTCCTGGCTCCTGGCCCGGCTTCCCGGCTTCCCGTGCTTCCCTCTTATCAGGAAGGAGCCTCCCCACCGTCCTCATTGCACGGGACCAGACCAGATAATGCTCGTGGTAACCAAATGCAGAGTGTGATTGCTGGGTTTTTCTGACTCGTCTTCAGAGTGGGGTGATGGATGGGAAGAGGGCCTGGCGCTCCAGGCCGCGGACTCCTCCTCACAGGAGAGCTGTGTTCCGCGGACGAGCTAGGAGCCGTGTCCTCCGCGGGGAGAGTGGGCCGAGTCCCCCTGGGGCCCGGGGCAGGTGGGGCAGCTGGCTGTCCAGGCTCACAGACTCGCCATTTTTCTTTAGCACTTTTGATGTGCAGGGGCTACAGGTAATTTTATTGAAACCAAACAGAACGCGACAGCTCACGAAAAATTCCCCCATGGAAACAGCTCAGCTACTTTACACCCAGACCGAACTCCGTTGCGGTTTCTTTGTAAAATCGCAGAGTAAAACCTAAACATCTCCTGCCTTTGCCCGAGAGAAAAGACGCTGTAGCAGCGCCGGCAGCCCAGGCGGGGCCCAGCAGCCAGCAGGCAGGGAAAGAATGATGCCTTTCCCTCCTCCCCGTTCCCTGTGATGCCATGTGTGCCCATTCGTGTGTCAGGCACACGGGCAGGAGAGTGGGGGCAGGTGCCTCACAGACTAGAGGAAAGAAGAGTCTGGAAGTTAGGACCCCGAGGCTAGCGTGCTGGGGAGGGGAGCCTGGAAAGAGGGTCTGCTGGGTTTTTATTTCAGAGAACACTGCTAATGAATAGACCTTGGGGATAAATGGATGTGACCCTGGAGGCGATTTACATAACAATGAAACTAGTTCAGAGGACCTTGCAGGCTGAAACCAGGCCTCTCCCCTGCGGTTATTCCTTATTCCATGGTGTTAATCTGCTTTATGATCCACTTTCCCCAGGCCGGTCATTTCTCTCCACACTAGGAAGTACATTCAGAGCTGTGGCTTCTGCACTAGCGGTTAAGGGACGATCGCTGCACTTTACCTGTACCCATCTGTCTGGGAAGGGCCGGTCAGTCCGTCTTTTCCACCTGTGTCCCCTATGCCACACGGTCCTTCTTACTCACATGTGTGGAAGCATATTTTGTCAGTGGTCGTCAGATTTTCGCATACTCTCCCATTTCTGAGTAAACGCAGGTGAGGAGAAGGGATTGCCCGGCACAGGCCCCTTGGTCAGGATCTGTTCAGAAGGACGAAGCCGGCCTTAACAGGCGGTAGGAATGCGCTCTTTGAAGGGCCTGTGCCTTGAGCCGAATAAAGGAATAAAAACCTCTTCATATTCTGCTTGGTGCTGACGCTGCTCCCGTGTTGGTGTGTTGGTGTGGGGCTCTATCCAGGACGGCAGGGAGGGCTCTAATCTGAGGCTACTTTGTGACATCATCTGGTTGGGAGGTGATCCACCCTCCCTTCGGAAAACCGACTCGCTTCCTGAGCTTTTGATCGGTACTGCTTTGGGTAAATTGGAAGTGGATCTGGGTTGGGGGGATCGAGGGAGGTGGGGTGGAGCGGGGTGGTGGGGGGCAGACCACTCCCTTAGGAAAGGTTGGAAATGTTGAAATCCAACTTGACCTTAAATTAACCAGTGATTGTCTCTGTATAGTATGGGGTTTGCTGTGGGCAGAGCACTGGATGAGGGGCCTGGGGCACAGCAAACAGTGTAACAGAAGCGTTGCGATTTGCCGCTAATGGTAGAAGCTTCGACTTCTTCTTTGTGACCTGGGAGGGAATTTTCTCTGAATGTTTCTGCAGCAGGGCCATGGTATGGCCAACAGTGGGATGTGGCCTGGCCTCACTGCCCTGTGGGCCCGAGTGCTGGCAGGCAGGGGTGACATCAGAGGCCACCTCCGGAAGAGGTTCACGGGAAAAGTTACTTGTGAACACAGCCGGGTGAGCACTGGGCAGCTGTGAACCCTGGAGCCCTGTCCCCGCATCCCCCTGGGCCTTCTCCGTGCTGTTCATGGCCTCAAATGCCGTTTCCACTCCTTGTCTCTCTGACCAGCCCCACGGCCTTCTGGCCATGCACCCCTCTCCTTCCCGTGCTGTGTACCAGGTGGGGGTGCAGCCCTTCATGGTGGCTACTCACGTCCTTGTCACTAATGCAGCACCTGTCATGTGGCTATTTATTTGCCCCCTGCCCCCGACTAGGTCACAGGCCCTGTCTTCTAGGAGAAACTGTCATTTACGTTTCTTCTTGGGGCCTGTACAGAGCTGTGCACTTAGCCGGCACCTCATGAGTGTGCCTGGGTGAGTCATAGGCTGAAGGGGGGTGCCACAGCCCAGGCCCTCTCTGTGCGGGCCCCGGTGACTCGCAAGGGGACCCGGGGAGCGTGGCCCTTTCTGCCAACGTGGGCTTGACCCCGGAGCTCAGGCTGTCATCTGCGAACACAGCGGGTAGTTGCGTGGAGGCGCCTGTGGCCGGCCGGCAGCGAAAGATGGAAGTGCCATTCACATGATAAAAAATTTAAGCTGTGCTTCGTGCCGTTGGTTTGAACTTCTGAGCAGTGCAGTGCAGTTGCACACATGGTGACGGCTTCTGACCTGAGCTCCTGGCACTGCCCGTGCGCCGTCACCGCTCGCCGACAGCTTACCGGCCCTGGTCTGCTGGTGGTGGGGCCCTGTCCCTGCACCGGGGGTGGGGGGGAGGTGCGCAGACCCGTGCCTGGCACCGCCGTGCTGTGCTGAAGAGGGAGGAAAGAACGACAGGAAGAGAAATTCAGTCTCTCGGTCTCTTCATTTCTGCATCTGAGGAGCTGGAAGGTCAGGGCTTAACCAGAAGCTGTCATTTACTGCCTTGATGCCTGGATGACTTTGGACAAGTGACTCCTGTCCCCTAAGCCTCAGTTTCCTCACCTGTAAAGCAGTGCAGATGCCGACTTCCTTCCCGAGATGATGGAAGCTTCGGAAAGTTCTGGATGAGTGAGCTTCCTGCCTTAGGATCTGTACCCTTGACAGGCTTCATTTAAAAAGACCCGCACACAGTGGCTTCAGAGACTGTGGCGTTGGTCAGTGTTTTCCTTGACATTTGAACTGGGGCTGGGTCCTGGGGGCTATGTAGGGGACTGTTTTCTACTTTAATTGCCAGATCACGTGGACCCCAGAGAAGCTGTGCCACCAGGCCTGTGCCTCCTGCTCAGCAGGAGGTCTGTCCCATGCTCCAGAGAGAGGGCCACACTCAGGCAGGCTGGCTGCTGGCAGCATGATGCAAGCCTGTCCCCGCGCCCTGTGCAGGTGGAGACTCTGCTTTTAATAGAGACTGAGCTCAAGTGGGGCCACCAGTGTCCTCCACGTCCTGGTCTGTCCTGCTGCTGTCCTCACTGTGCTGCCATCACCGTGTTGTCATTGTGCCGTCATTCTGCCCTCACTGTGCCCTCACTGTGTCGTCACTGTGCCCTCACTGTGTCCTCACTGTGCCGTCACGGTGCCCTCACTGTGTCATTACTGTGCTGTCACTGTGCCGTCACTGTGTCGTCACAGTGCTGTCATTTTGCCGTCACTGTGCCGTCACTGCTGTCACTGTGCCGTCATGGCTTGTCCTCCCTGCTCCACGGGGTTCCTCCTCTGTACAGACATGCACACCTGTCAACACGGCCTCTGGTGCACTTGTTAGACACCGCCCCAGCCCCTGGGTGCTCAGGAAACCAGACCACAGGTCGCAGCCTGGAGAGGGGCTCTGAGCCGGGAAGGGCGCCGAGAACCTGGTGCGCGATCCCTACCCCTTCTGACCCCTGGTCAGCACCTGCTTTTCCTACTGAAACAAACTGGGTTTTGTTTGTAAATCTGGTTCAGCCCCAGAAGCATCGTGCAGTGTTTGTCCTGCAGGGGCCACCAGAAAAAGGGATGGGGCTCCTGCGCCGGGAGGGTTTTGCGCACGGCGGCCCCAGCAGAGCAGGCACACGAGCCACGCACCCATGGGCTCCGTGGCGTGTCAGTCAGAGAGGCTGGGGCGCAGTAACAGGCACGCCTGACGACCCTGCTATGATAGCTGAAACGGGAAGTAGCAGTAGCCAGCCCTTCCTGGTGACGCTGAGGAGTGCTCCCTCCCAGGGGCCACAGAGTCTGCCCACCCAGCCCCTGGGAGGGGACACGGCAGGGAGCAGGTGCACCCCATACACCGGGAACAGAGCCTGGGGGCGCACGTGACCACACAGGCTGCCGGGAAACGTCGCTTAGCTGCGGCCCCAACAGAAGCAGTGGTTTCGCAGCCAGCGGTCGCTCCAGCAGGAGAGACCCAGTCTGGATACGGAGGGGAGATGGGCTCGAGTAGAGAAAGATGCGGTGCTCTTAGTGGACCTCAGACATGGTGGCAGGTGGGGAGGCTGTGAAGGTGCTGAATTCTGTGGCCCCGGTGCCTCTTGGGGGTTTTCGAGGAGGCACGTAACATGGTTAGCACACACTTAGGACCCCACTCAGCCCCAGCCGGCAGGTGGTTAGGGTGCGGGGGCAGAGTAGAGATGACGGTAGGTACTGCACTTCCTCGACGGTAGGTACTGCACTTCCTCGTCGGCCGGTGATGGGTGCTCTGATGACACGGGCTGACCCACAGCTCTCACCATAACCCCGTGTGGCAGGTGAGAGCTGTAGCCTCCAAACAAGCACGCCGTGGATGCCGAGACGCCAGCCGGCCTTGAGTGAGGTCAGGGTGGGCTTGAGATCCACCGAGCCTGGGAGGGGGGGAAGGCCTCTGGGCAGCAGGGGACTGGCCCCCCAGCCAGGAAAGGAGATGTGTGTTTGGAGGGAGGCAGGAGGGCGAGACACGCAGGGCCGGGTGCGGCCATGAGTGGAGGGAGGGCAGCGGGCGGTCGGGGTGCCTCGGGAGTCCTCTCCTATGAAGTCCAAAACTGGGCTTGATATTCAAGGCCGATCGTAAGTACCTGTTATTAGTTCCTGGGTCTGTTTGCCCCTCCGTGCAGATAGGTAGGGAGAGTGTGCGTGAGGTCCAGGCCTGGGATCTGAAGTGAGACTCAGTGAGAGTGCCCACCAGGGACCCTCCAGTCCATCCATAGATCCGCGTAGATGGGCTTTCCGGACAGGAGCGAGCCGGGCCCTGTAAACTGCTGTCTGCCCTGCAGACAGTGTGGATGGAGTGAACCCCCTAAGGACAGCCCACTCCTCTGACGAGAGCAGTTCACAGTTTCCGAGTCTTTCCTGGCACCTGCACCTTACAGAATGGCCTCTGTACACGGGGCAGGCGGTTTGCTCATTGACGGGCCCCCCAGAGGAGGAAGGCGCATTTCTCACCAGCCGCCCGGCGTTCTGGTGCCCGAACCTCCTGGGGAAGCAGTGCTAAGAGTTGGCAACATCAAACCACCGCCCTGTGGAGTCTGGATTTATTCCTGTAACCTTGACAATGATCGTGTCCGTCTTCAGTGTAAATGTTCCAGCCATCTGGCTTTCTCTGTACACGCAGCTCAGGCTCTCTGTTCTCTCCCTCGCTAATCTGTTACTCGCATAGGTGACATTTAGTTCTGTTTATACTTGTGAGTGCATTCAAAGCCATTTATGATTAAGCCCTGCTCAAACAGCCAAAGCGAGATTTATTGTCACAGAGCAGGGCTGGTGTGGACAGAGTGCTTGGGGAGGGGGAGGGGGAGTCATTTCTCTGTTCTCTGTGTTTCCAGTTGACGAGACATGACATTTATTTTTAAATTGTGCTCATAGCTCTGTGACTTCTGTAGAACTCCAAACAAGATTTCAATTTAAAATTATGGTAAGAGGGGCACCTGGGTGGCTCAGTCGGTTGAGCCGCTGACTCTTCACAAATTCGGCTCTGGTGGTCATCTCACAGTTCATGGGTTCGAGCCACGCGTCGGGCTCTGCACTGACAGTGAGGAGCCTGCTTGGGATTCTCTTTCCCTCTCTCTCTGCCACTCCACACCCTCTCTCTCTCTCTCAAAATAAACTTTAAAGAACATAAAAATAGGGGTGCCTGTGTGGCTCAGTCAGTTAAGCATCTGACTTTGGCTCAGGCCATAATCTCACAGTTCACAAGTTTGAGCCCCACATCAGGCTCTGTGCTGACAGCTCAGAGCCTGGAGCCTGCTTCAGATTCTGTGTCTCCCTCTCTCTCTCTCTGCCCCTCCCCTGATCTCTCTCTCTCTCTCTCTCTCTCTCTCACTCTTTGTCAGAAATAATAAATGAATAAACTTAAATAAAATTAAAATTAAAAAACATAAAATTATGGTAAGAAAAGGGATAATAGTACTCCTGAGGGGTGGGCCCCTCCCTGGTCCCCATCGGTTCCTGAACTTCACATCTGGGTTCACAGTCAGATAACCTTGGTTTAGGCAATTTATCCAAATGAATTTGTGACTT